CAGCCTTTACTGAACCAACACCAGACCAACAACTCTCAGTCTTACGGAGGTTCAACAGTCTTTACTGAACCAACACCAGACCAACAACTCTCAGTCTTACAGAGGTTCAACAGTCTTTACTGAACCAACACCAGACCAACAACTCTCAGTCTTACAGAGGTTCAACAGTCTTTACTGAACCAACACCAGACCAACAACTCTCAGTCTTACAGAGGTTCAACAGTCTTTTCTTTACTGAACCAACACCAGACCAACAACTCTCAGTCTTACAGAGGTTCAACAGTCTTTACTGAACCAACACCAGACCAACTACTCTCAGTCTTACAGAGGTTCAACAGTCTTTACTGAACCAACACCAGACCAACAACTCTCAGTCTTAGAGGTTCAACAGCCTTTACTGAACCAACACCAGACCAACTACTATCAGTCTTACAGAGGTTCAACAGCATCTTATCAACCCATGAAACACCTAACCAACAACTCTCAGTTTAACAGGAAACATCAAATCCACAATTCTCATTCTTACAAGAAATGCCTAACCAACAACAACTCTTGGTCCAACAAAAAACATCAGACCAACAACTTCTGACAGGAAACACCAGACCAATAACTCTTGGTCTTACAGGAAACATCAGACCAACAACTCTCTGTCTTATAGGAAACATCAGACCAACAACTCTCTGTCTTACAGGAAACATCAGACCAACAACTCTCTGTCTTATAGGAAACATCAAACCAACAACTCTCTGTCTTATAGGAAACATCAGACCAACAACTCTCTGTCTTATAGGAAACATCAAACCAACAACTCTCTGTCTTACAGGAAACATCAGACCAACAACTCTCTGTCTTATAGGAAACATCAGACCAACAACTCTCTGTCTTATAGGAAACATCAAACCAACAACTCTCTGTCTTACAGGAAACATCAGACCAACAACTCTCTGTCTTATAGGAAACATCAAACCAACAACTCTCTGTCTTACAGGAAACATCAGACCAACAACTCTTGCAGAGGCTAACAGACTTCTACAGACACAGGAAACATCAGATAACTCCCAGGCTTACAGTAGATCAACATCATTTCAGTTCTAAACCACAGAAAAACAAAACTCTCACAATATCACATTCCAGGAAATATTAGACCATTAAAACCCTATAAACAAAATTTAATGAATGAGTTGTATTTGTATAATTTAAGATGACCTTTACATTATGAGATTTAACTCGCCCCAAAACACTTGTAAAACAATGATTTGTAAAGCACTGAGACAGCTGTAGATCTAGCAGGGGGGTCTCAGATCAGTGAGGATGGATCTGGTGAGAGACTAATTGATCTCTGTATATAATTCACCTCTCTGGATTTTGCCTTCAAAAGATCTTGTCTGAAGGTACTGGAAATATTGGGTGGCTAAGTACAAATTCTACTCCCCATGCCTAACACAAAGACTTAATTTAATGCTTGTAATGAAGCCATCCCAACTGCAGATGAACAGTGGAGCCACATCCATTTGCTGAAGACAAAAGAACGATCAATAAATTTAATATGTACAGCCATCCTGGATCTTCCACCACTACTCCTCAAAATTTTGTTTTCAAATTGCCACATGTCTCAAAGGTTAATAGGTTATAGTGATGTTCATCATTCAAATTAAGACAATTCCTCATGGTATTCCCATCAAGCAACAAGACATACCATACACCATATTGTTGTTTAAGTATATATTGTCCAGCACAATGTAACACAATATCCATCATTGAACACAATGTTTTGTACATTGGTTAACACTTAGACCTATTAAGGCAGGTTATGGCCAACAAATGGTCATGCCAATATACACTACAGCAAAGGTACTGCTGAATACTGAGAATACCTACTCGATGGCATTACAATGTCTACTGTATATTAATGGAAACGAAAGTACAAGCTTCACTACGTTTTTATTGATCACTCTAGTACATGATGCTTGCTTTTCAAAGAAAAGCAAAAAATAACTGCCAACAACAGCAAACATTACTGTTTATGACTGCACATCACAGTAAATATTATAGTGCTTCCAAATTCATCTGACAACAAGCCCATGTCTAGTAATAAGCCACCACTGCAACAAGCCAATTTTGGCATAAGCTCACATGGAACCAATTCAATGTCTGATAATAAGCCACTGTGGCAATAAGTCAAATAAGGCAAGGTGTTGTCAACTTGAGCTTCTTGTAGAAAATAAATACAAAATTGTCTTGATATATGTAGATAGATAAAGTGACTTATAGCAATAGGCAGATATTGCAAAGAAGACTTCACTTGCACATGTTTGAAACTCTAATATGTAAACATTATGGAGTGTGCTGTTCAAAAGGAAAAAATACTAAAATAGCTTGCTCTATCATAGATTCATGTCTATTCTATTACAGTCTTATGTTTGCAATGAAATTGTATTTTCAATCAGGTGTATATATTTTTAAACAATACACTTTCTTTCCTCTTTGATATCAACCATGAGGGTGGTTGGGTGGTGCAGATGTAATGCACTGGTCTTTCACCTAGCCATCTGGGGTTCAATTCTCGGTAAGGACATCACCGGGTACTCTGGTTTTCTCCTTTAGTAAGACCCTGCACACTTCTATCCATGCCATCAAGAGTGATTAATATAACTGATAGCTGGTTTTGCTATTGTTGTAAAATAAATAAAATTTATATCATATGGTATTTGAAATTCAGATTAAACTATCATGATCGCTGCCTGTTTATCCAGAACACTGTTGAGATTTCTAATAACTTGAAATACAAAAATGATACTGTACAATTGTATTTTGAACACTATAAGTATATACTTCCATTGTGGCATTAAGACCAGGTGTTCAATACAGTTGTATCCCTGTTGCGGTTTGGCAGACAGAACACCAGCATCTGCATGTGTCAGTAATTAGGTGTACCTCTTCTGTCAATATACACAAGATAAGTCCAGCTGTAAAAGTACAAACCTCTAATAAATTTCTTCTTCTTTGGCCATTGTGTCAAGTCTCATTGATACCATGCCGGTTTAGTGGCCAAACTCTTCATCCCTTCCTTAACCTTTATGTAGAGCTATCAGTTGGAGAACACTTTCACAAACAGGTAAATTAAACAGTGCACTAAATGTCTCTTCTACAACTGGTTGCTAATGACACATTATCTTAAAATGTCATATACATTTTGTATTTGATTGAAAACCTCAAATCACTGGGAGATATATTCATGAAACTATTTCATTCAATATAAATTGAGAATCAATTTCATTTATCTTGGTAAAAAAGTTCCTTTGATGAGATTGGAAATTTGAAAACAAGATGGAGTGGGGTGGGACACCATCTGGATAAGATGGTGACAACCTTATGAAAGAATGATCATGAAACAACCCAGCTTCTTTTTCCAAGTGATTAATGAATTTTAACTGTAACAAAAAATCAATACAGCCTACCATTCTTTGTACTTCCTATACTCTAGCTTCCTGCAACACAAACAGGAACAGCTGCCAATTCGTCATTTCAAGCAAACCTCCGTCTCTCCTAGATCATGTTTAATAATACCCGAGATTGCATTTCCTAGAAACTAAACCATTCCATCTTCCAGACTCTGTAACTTCAGGTGAAAACTGCTGATTTGTGTTTGATCATCGTGTCGATTATACAACATATGTTGATAAATGATCCAGGTTGAAGCATTATAGCTCCTATTCTACCCATATATCAATGACAACCGCTCAGACAAGTCATCAAATTGATCGCAAAAGTGTCACAGTCTCCTAAGTAATCACTTAATCAGCCAGTCAAATGGTCATATCTTATTGAACTCAATTAAGAAAATAAAAAGTGGTAATCAACCAAGAAATGATTAACCAAAGAAGTGTAGTTAATTACCATAACTTACAAATGGAAACAGGTCTGTTTCATTTACAAGAACACTTGAGACTTTACTCAAAGTTCACTACTTCAGCAGCAGTTGAATATGACAGAGTTGTGATCATCATTTAGAGTGAAACTTTTAAAATGATAAAAATTCTTTCTGACCTCGAAATTGATCATTTTCACCTTGAATTTACAAGTGAATGGCACATAAGTTGCAAAAAATGGCAATTATAACTTAGAAATTTTACTCCTTGCACTAAGAAAGAAATTAACCTTTACATGAGAAATGAAATAACCGCAAAGCATTTTAAAAGAGGCCAGAGTCACAGACAGGATCTAAAATGAATCATATAAAATTTTCATTACATCATCTTGACCTTTAAAGATGTCAAATCTCCTGACTAAAGTAACTCACATGATTGGTTTAATAGCTATTCTGTTCCATCCTGGTCTACCTAAGATAAATAGCTGTGTGAACAGGACCTCTTCAAAAATTAAAAAAAATTAAAGATGTGTGAACAAGGAAGTCTAGTGGAGGGTTATCAGTAGGTGGCACTGTCCTAACCAAATTTAACAACAGTTGACTGAACAACTATGTTATTAGAAATATATGTCTGACTTCAAATACAGCAGAAACAACAACAAAAACAACAATCAGGTGAAAATACATCAGAGACAACCTGTAGTGGACAAGAAGTCACACCTGTTATGACTACATATCCATCTTTCTCAGGCAAAGGGAATATCAACCACTCAGAGAGATCAAATAAAATTTGCAAATTTTGATACTAAATATATATTTGCTTGAAAGTAAGCCCACTCATGCATATTGATGTCTGTTTTCTTGCATGTCCATCCCTCTAATGTGAGTCAGCTTGAAGGAATACCTTGTTTGTAGGACACTTTTTTTCTCAAGATCCAAAATGAAAGATGTGATGAATGAATGACCTGTGGATTTTGTGAAGGAGACCATTTTTGTTTCACTAAATGCAGCATTTATGAGCATAACGAATACAATTTAACACGGAGGAAGGGGGGATGCTTTATGCTTCAAGAAAGAGAAAATTATTTCTTTGATATATGATGACAATGAAGTTTGAATAATGAATACTTACATTTGGTTCTGATGCCAGAGTCCGGTGAAAATATGAGCTGGAATACAGTGACCTTTTTGCTACTTTTCTGTGTTGAAGATGATAATAATCCGGCATGATCTACAAACAAAAAGATCAATATTTATTGGAACAATAAAATCTGAATATGTCCCACAAATGCTTTAAAAAAAGTTTCACAATCTTTAATATCCACTTTGAATACCTCAACGATGTTTGCAAGAAAAACAAAAACATATATGGTTTAAATACTGGTAAGATGACTATGAGGTCCATGGCCATTAATTTTAAAAATCTAAACAAGCCCTTCATCTCAGAATGGTTTTCATCATATTCCAATATACTGTGAGCAAACTTATTGCAGTTAGTTCTAGTGCTTTTCTACTTAAAGTATTCAGGAAAAATATGATTGTGCTTTTGTACATTTTTATGTTGTTTAATAAGTAATTATTGTGGAAACACAAATTTATCATTGAACTACATTACCTGAAACAATAATGCACTGAAATTTGATTGGAAGTATATTTACAGTACTTTAAAACATTGAAAAAGTCATCAGATCCCTGCAATCAGATGGACAACTGACAAACCGAGTCAAAGTTAAGGTCATCAGGACTAAATTGAATAAGCACTTGTTCAAATCTGTACTGCTAAATGTCAATTCAAGGCTGGCATATTCTGTGGTTTTTTATCGTTAGTGCCTTTAAATTCACAGTTAGTAGATGTAGTAGGGCAAATCATAAGTTTGAAAGATTAAATTGGATTAGTACATTTTTTGATAGTAAGATATAATATAAAGTAGGTCACTCTGAATCATGTTTCTTTTATAACACATACTCTTATCATAGACAACATTACAAATCACCAAAACCTGCCAATTTCTATGGTCAATTTCAAACTTAGTGAATTAGATCATATATGCACCACTTTAAACTGTACAAATAGCAAAATTTGCTTTACTTAAACTGTCTGTTTGATTTCATAAATATCAATGCAGCCAAGGTTTACTTTGACTTGAGAATGGTTAGCGTGACCAGGATAGTAGCTTGAGATGATGTATGTTAAGGAGTAGGGGTGGGAGAATGTTGACACTGGAAAAATTATCTCAGGGATGGAGAGAGTTAGAAGGGCAATGGTTCTATGGCAGGATGGGTCAGTTTAATTTCCCATGAGGATCACTCTGACATAGTAAGATATGGTTTCAATTTACTTGAGAGAGAGGTCCATTTTACATGGTCTACAATTTGTATCTTTATAAATGTTTATACAAATGTTTGTTTACTGTTTACAGAAGTATTGTGCCACATAAATAAGACTATTTGTCTGTAACTTTGAGCAGGAGGTTGGTTATGAAAAGCTGAGCTAAATGACTGTGATGTGGGGTAGATAAGGGAGGTATATATACAGATAGGAATGGAAGGGATGTAGGTGTGCCTACACACTATAAACACACCTACAGCCAACAGGTGCTATTTCTCTAAGTAAGAAAATGAAACAGGCCTGCTGCAAAACATGGTAAAGGCATGTAACCACAGCCACAAATGAACCCAAGTGAAATCATGATTTAAACTGGCATATCTTCTAAACATATTTACCAGGCAGTTCTAAACCTACTGGTATCAAATGCTGTTTCACTGTCCTTTAATAAGCTCACTCCCTAACTTTGAATCAAAGGCAATGTATTGGATACAGAAACATATTACAGTAGGGTTATTGTCTGTTTACAAAGATTAACAGACATCAAACAAATAAATTAAGAACATTCTTTCAAGGTTTCCACATAACTGACCCCTGTGACCTTGAAAGGTCAATGTGTTTAATTTGAAAAAAGTTGAATGCCTTCATCAAAGCATACCAATGGCCAAATAGACTATCACCTTGGCTTCTCAGTTATGGAGAAAAGTTATTTAAAGATTTCAATACATTTGACCTCAGTGACCTTTAAAGAGTGTGATGTTGCTTCATTTGAAGACAAATTGTAGCCTTTCCCAAACATGTATCTGGCCAAAAATCATGACCCGTGGCCTCTTGGTTACTGGGGAGTCTTTTAAAGGATGAAAACATATGATGAAGGCTGCATATTAGCACAGCTAACTTGCCCTTTGGGTTGCCAGATGAACTAATAGTGTTATTTCTTTCCCAATTTGGAATAGCCCATTCAACGTTTACCATGTTAAAAGTGAAAATTAAGACACTTACAAAATATTCCAGAACAGTCAAATTTGATAAAGATAATTAAATAAGGCATCATACCAAATTTTGGCCAAATGAAAACAACCCAAACTGAGTAAAATTTGACAAACATATCATTCACCAGTGCTATATATATATATATATATACAGCTGACCCAGGATACAGCCACTATATATGCATGATCATGCTTGGTTCTGATGGACCAATACAATATTTGAGACAATAGTTATAGGTCCCCTGTACTACAACAGAAAGGCTAAACCACTTGTTAGTGTATGCCTACTGAAGCCTGCTGTCTTTCCTTGTATACCAAGTAGATCTACATGTTTTTGTTTGGATTGGACTGAAGTTCTGGTTTTCACCATTTTTCAAATCTAGTTCAAATCAACATGTGTGATAAACAGGGCCTTTTTTGTGTCAGTTGTCTATGTAAACACAGTTGTCAGATTGTAGACAGCCCATCTTTATTTAATACCTTGTCAGTCAGGTCTTTATCCCCTGATAATAGCATATTCTACAGTACATAATATTTCAATAAGACAACCTATCTCTAAATCCACCAAATATTTCTAATACTGGTCTGGATTTTTAAAATATCTCTACCTTAGTCAGATAAATGTAAAAGACAAAAATATGGCTAAAATTCATTTTTCTCATTGAATTCAAGTGTAAGCTCATATTATGTATCCAACAACAGTTTGGTTTCAAAGACAAGTGCATTTTTTTCCTTTTGTAATTCTTAATTCATTATTTTAGAACTGTATTGGAAGCAAATGAATTTCTTACTGTAGCATTCAAAATGGGTAACAGTTCCTCAGAGCTTTTAAGGAGAAACAAACAATACAAGGTAATCAATATTTAATTACTCTTCCAAAATACATTTTCCAGGATCTGGAATTTTCAAGACATCTTCCTGTTATTCAGAAATTAGGAGAAGCACACAATACCCTAAAGAATTCTGTTGAATGGTTTCTTTTACCAATTTACTCCATCAATTGTTTCTCTGGTAAAATATGTATGTACATCTACTTGCCACAAATATACAAACCACTCCACTATATCTAGAACTAGCCAGTAATGGCACCAACAGATGGTCCCTATGCTAACAATTTCTTAAACATTGTACCTGGGTCTTTTTCAGGCACCAAGATATTTTACAAGAGAACCCTAATAGACATTGAAATCCTTTGTGTACACTTCCATGAAATAGAAAATCTTAATTATTGATTGATTCAAAATATCTAAAAACGTAGATCTTTTTTAAGAATTAACTTGGACCACACAAAAAGTTATATTAACAAACCATGTGTAGTACAAAAATATACAAAAAAATAACGTAAAAAGAATATTTTCGATGACTGTATAGATATGGGGAAAAGGTCTCTGCAGTTTAACAATCATCCATTTTACCCTTTTGTCAATAAGGTCAAAATAAAACTGCAACTTTGGTTAAAAATGAATGCTGAAATATATGTCATGCTTTTACAGCTAATTTAACTCTAGGTGAAGTGAAATATTTTCATGGACTGGTAAAAGTAACATTCCCTGGGTGGTCGGGTGGCGTAGTGGTAACACACTCGTCTTTCACCTAGCTGACCGGGGTTCGATTCCCGGAACGGACGTGAAAAGGTAAGGGGTCACCTACCCGACCACGTGGGTTTTCCCCGGGTACTCCGGTTTCCTCCCACAATAAGACCCCTCGCGCGCTTACATCCGGGCCAACAAGAGTGATTAGTATAAGTTGACATAACTTGTTTCGCAATTGTTGTAAAATAAATAAAGTTTATATTATAACATTCCCTGTATACAGTACACTGTACAAGTATATATAAGACACTTATATGTGTGTGAGGGCTTGTGTTTGTGTAGGAGTATCCTACATGAACTGCATGTTTTAAAACGGTGGTGATCAACTACAAAATGGTTTACATGTGAGCCGATTATATAGGTACACATTCTAGTATCCACCCACCTATGTCTTCATCACCTACTCCAACTTCTATATCTCGAGGCACTATTTACAGTACAGGTATCAAGACATCATGCTGTAAGCCCAGGTACTATCAACACTGAATGAATTTTATAAAACATGAATACCATGTAAGCTGTATGAATTCTTAAGGCTTTGGTTATATATCTATACCAATCAACGATGACTACGCCACTAATTGCAATTAAATTGTCTTTCTATGCTAAATTTCTGTTATTAAAACAGTGTAATATATTACAACTTCTGAAGTGGGGTTTATCTTTTTTATAAGTAATCAAACTCTCGGCTCACTTCTTTAATCTTCTTCTGTACAAATGTACCAACCTAACCTGCAACAGTTTTAAAAAGTCACACAACGTTAGAAATTGGGTATAGGAAAATTTCAGAAGAAAACTAACCACATTAAAACAAATCCCAGAGAAACACAAGTGGTAAATTGTATACTATCTGGCATGAATCTCACAGATATAGATGTTCATGTCTTTTCCCAAAAACAATCCTGCTGGCTCCATGTAAATATGCTATCTAAAAGAGACTGTAGCAACGGTAGGCGCAGGGTCGATACATGCCCTACATCTTTCCTACAGAAACTGTTTTTAGTTTTTGGTGCAGATATTCCCCATGTTAAATCTGATTTTTTTTGAGAGGAATGCATACAGGTATTAAATAGAAATATGAAGAGTCAGTTCTACTCTACATGTTTTACCACTTATTTTTTAAATAAAATGTCTAAATATTGCACTTTAAAAATACTCAGTGATGTAAAAACTTTATGATGCAATACTTCATTTTCACATTTTTTGAGGCCGCAGTGGAGCAGCAATGTTAATTTAAAAAAAAAAAAAAAAGGATTGCAATTATTATAATCTAAGGTCCAGATATTTATCAGTAAACACACACATCTCCTTATATCTACCA